CAGCCCACAGAAGAGACGGACGGAGATGGAAGGTCAGCGTCATAGTCAGCAATGACGGACAACCTAAGAGAGAGAGAGAGAGAGAGAGAGAGAGAGATTATTATTATTATTAGTAGTAGTAGTAGTTGTAGTAGTAGTAGTAGTAATGATTTTGAACGGACGTTAAAGTTATAATGAAAAGTTTACAAATTCAAAAAGGTCAAATTTATCATTTTTTGAAGAACATCTAAAAAACGGTGAAAATTCTTCTTCTTATTATTATTCTTATTTCTATTCTTCTTATGATTAATTTGGTAGTGCGGTCGTTTTCGAAAATATTCAAATAATATAGGGAAAATGCAATACAAGTCACGGGGTTTATCAATAAAAGAAACTGAAAGGAAAACTTCATTTGAAACTATTAGAAAATTAAAATAAATTTTAGCATAGAAATTAAAAATTAATTTCCTTTCGACATGATACCATATCTATCTATCTATCTATCTATCTATCTATCTATCTATCTATCTATCTATCTATCTATCTACCTACATTCTTCCCCACTCTCTTTTACACACACACACACACACACACACACACATATATATATATATATATATATATATATATATATATATATAATACTTTCATTCCCAAGCAAAGCAATAAAGCCGCTAAGACGCAACGAGAGAAAATGAGAAAAAAATTACAATTAAGGTGAGAGGACAATAAAAGAACAAGAATTAAGAAGACAGAATATAACGATTGACATTGCATTTAAACATTTGAAGGTCAAACGTGACTAGGAAAAAGAATTTGAAAGAGATTTCCACAAGCGAGGAGAGTAACAGAAGAAACTGTTAGCATAGAACTTACGGTTACATTTAGCCATTTCAACTCTAAAGTGATAAGACAATTAGGCCAGTCTAGTACGGCACTTAAATTCATAAAGTCTAAGAATGTTCATCAGAATAATTACCGTGAAAGTGTTTATAGAAAAGACACGGCGAAGATAGATTAACGTATTGGTAAAGGGGAATGAAGCCGAGATGTTAGGTCAGGACCAATAACATTGCAGACATTTTATCAAGAATCTTTAAATCTATAGCAAAAGAACCAAATAAATATGTAAGATAGATTGTAGCAAGAAGAATTGCGTAACACGGCACAATAAACTTTCTTAGCTGAAGACTTAGCATTTGATTCAATATACTCGTTCCACTTCATGCCAGCTGAAAACGTTAGTAGACGCAACGAGTTACTCTGCTGGAGGCCATGCTGATAGAAGGTAAAAAAAGGGGGTACTCTCATATGATTAAAAGTCTCATTTGCAAGGCGTTAACAAGCCATTCCTTCCCCATTTGTAGATTGTAGGTAATTTTTTGTGATCAGCGGCCAATTTGAGCTTATCGAACCGATTAGCCTTACTATTAAGACAGGCGTAAATAATTGTGTCTTCAGCATTAATACCGAACTGAGAACTGATGACACCAGAAGGTCATTTATGAAAATTATAGACAACGTAGGTTTAAGGATAGAACCCTGGGGATTATTTATACATAATTCCTTTTGTTTGATTTTGTCTCTGTCAGAATCGGTGCAGAACAATTTGGTAAAATGAACTGTATTAAAGATTCATTTTCATATATATATATATATATATATATATATATATATATATATATATATATATATATGTGTGTGTGTGTGTGTGTAACGTTTGATCTAAAAGTATCAGCAGTATTTACATTAGTCGGACTATTGTCCTCATCTTTGTCACAACGTTTCGGCCGTTGTACGCTCCGGCCTTCTTCAGGTGGTTGGAATTTCGAACTGAACCCTTTATTTCGATCGCTGGGGTAGACTGTTCTAATTCCACGTGCCATGTTTGATGGATGTCAGTTATCAGTTATCTCCTGCTAATTTTCCCTCTGAAAGTTCTCCACTGCCTTAACCAGGTATTGAACTCACCTTCTTTGGGTCCTGTCACTGGATCTAACCAACGCCTTTATCCACTGTGCCATATAGACAAACTCTAAAAGTATCAGGATTGTTGTAATGGTAAGCACGCAGTGTGAAGCCGCTTGGCACGAACTGACCTTGGATTCCGTCGTGGAAACACCCTTATAACGTTCCCGCTGACTTCTGTTGTTTATAGCAGTGCTTTGAAGGAAAGTGTGTAGAGTGTGGTTGTCTAACGGCACTACATAGGCTCCATCAGTGACCGTAGATTGTGCAACAGTTTTCGATCAAGAACAACATTCCCCAGGTCTGACAACCTCTATATGCCCAAGATCTCGCTCCTTATGGCTTTTTGTACTTCAAAAATCAATTCCCACTTGAAAAGAACCCGATTTCAAGACGTTGACTAAATCAAATAGAATGCGACAAGGCAGTTGTTCACTGTCTCCAAAAGAGGGATTCCAGGAATGCCTAAATCAATAGAAGCATCGCCGGATAAAGTGTGTGTCTCTTCAGAATGAAATTATTCGATGAGCATTAAATGCCGAATTGATATATTCTGCAGTTTTCTTTTTGAAGCACCAGCACCGATACTTTTTGATCAAGTCTCGTATGAAGAACTGTACTTTCAGCACTGAGGAGAGGTTTCTCTGTTCATTTAGTATTAGTAGTTTGTTCATCTGTGTACCGTTGCTACAAACTATAGATATTTGTGCCGTAGCCATTCCTCACCTCCGTACACCCTCAAAACATTCCTGAGTTCGCGACCACATGGAATTCAGATTTAACAAAATCATGTATAGGCATTTGTCTATACATGGTCTAATACAAGACGGTGTAGCGGACGGTGGGGTGAAGATGTGATGAGTATGTATTGTAAAAGAACATATGAGTTAAAATTTCCTGCTGGCCGATCCAACCGCATGAGAATATTGGACTTTAATTAAGTCCAAAGAAGACGAAGAAAACAAACCGTTAAATATATGTAAACAAATACATGTATTAACAACAAGTACAAGTTACAAGCACATGGACAGTTACATTGAGTACGTGTGGTGAATATTAGGTATGTGTGTGTTGTGGTGAGTGTTCGTACGTACGTGTATTGTTCTTAGCGTGTTCCCAGAATTTGGGAAGCGCTGTATCTGTGAGAGCTCACATCTGCGAGGTGTTATAAGGCTGAAGGCCTGAGGAAAAAAAGAGATCGAGGCGAAGGGCCAACCAGTATTTATAGCCAGGGGGGAGAGAGAGAGAGAGAGAGAGAGAGAGAGAGAGAGAGAGAGAGAGAGACCCTGTTGAAGGATTAAGGAACTGAGGAGGAGCTAACTCCGACAAGGGGATAGCAATGAGAAGTCCTTTATGACCGACAATGGCAAATATATTTTTTCCAGCAAGATCTGCTTAAACGCATTGAAGGATCCAAGAATGGATACCTTTTGTGTGTTTGAAAAGGAGGTCGAAGCTGGGCTGTTAAATCAATCACTTTCTGCTGTAAATGAACATATAGGAAATCAATAAATTGTATTGCATTGCTACTTGTGTTTCATTTTCCGCGCATGAACTTTTTCGTTTTTACACGTGTTAACGATTATTTTTGTCATCGTCAAAGGTTCTGTAAATTAGCAGATCGCGCAGAATTCAAAACAATTACAATGGTACCTTGATTGATGTTGATTTTCTTGACTGAAAACGATTTTCCAGGCGTTCGATTTAGATGCCATAATTCTTAATGCATAAGAAATAAATATATGGTGTTTTCATGGAGGTAAATTGTGTCCTTGCTGTTTTGCTTTGTTCCTCTTGCCTTCATTATGCCCTGTTAGTGTCAAATTCGTCGAGCTCTCTTTCTTCATTCATTCACTTATTTTTTTCTCTCCCAGTAACAGTAGATAGGTACGTCTATCATCTGGTTTACACTTCACCCCCTTTTTTGAACTGGAGTAGATTTATCTCTTGTTTCCTGCTTACGATTGTGCTTCCGGTTTCTTCTAAAATCTACTTCCATTCTATACTTCTAACGTCTTCGACTGAATTCTGAAATGTTATTCACTAATTAAATCTCGACCTCTTCAAGTCTAGAGTTAGCTGTTATCTTTCTTATATAGCTCCAAGAACTTCACTTCCTGTCAATTTCTTACGCTAATACAACACCAGACTGTAGTACATTACCTTAAAGTGGCTCATGGCTCTTCTACTGAGGAACATTAGTGAAAAAATATACATTGAACATGTGAAGAAGAGAATATTGCCATTTTTTTCTTTTCTCGATGTCTTCGTACACAAATCAAATACAGGATTTCTAACATTGCCCTGGAAACCAACTTTTACGGCTTTATATACCAGGTAGGATTCCTTTATTTCTAAACAGCTGAAAATTAAGTTGACTTTTCTTTGCTTCATCGAACCTTGGTAATATGATTGGTAGCGAAATTTGATTCAGAAATTGAATTTATTGGGAAGGTTCGGAGCAAGAATAGTCGCCATTTGCTTATTGTGGAGTTTAGCATTAGGGGGAAAATAGTCTAGGTCGATTGGTCCCCCGAAATTTCCCGTCTGTTTACGCGTGCCGCTGATTGGTGAGGTGAGTGTGACATTTGTTAAGCAAATTGCCGTAAGCAGTTGTTATTTTCCCGCCAATCTACGATTTGTTTTTCTTGTCGGAAGGATTTTCTGCCTACCCAACATATAAGTTCAATACAAGTTCTTTACACATTTAAATGTCAGTGTGAGGCTGACTATAAGTCAGAAAGAGTCAACGGTTGGAAGGACGAATCAACCAACACCTATCAGCCAATATTCGAAAGGGGAAGGTGGACCAGCTACATAGGTGCCTTAGTGTATCAGGTTCAGCGATTGCCGAACCTGATATATTTGAGTAAAAGACGCGTTTCATCGTCCGATGGACTTTATCAAGGCAATCAGGACGGAACGCGTCGGCTAGGATAAGTTTTCCTTTGGTCTTTATTTGCATATTGCTTTTTACAGATATACTTTATCTGAATTTTT